AAGGACCATGAAGAATTAAACTTGTCAAATATCTTTAGAGGCTAGATAAAAGAAGTCTGGATTGGCATCACTTCTAGCATCTCCGTCTCATCTGTATCGTTTACTTAATTTTCGCCAATAACATAGCACATGTATAAAAACAATTATTTACACATACTAGTAAAAGGAACATCTATTATTGCCATAACCAAGTCTATGTAATTCTACTGAAAATCAATGTTATACATAGAAAGATATGTAGATAAAGACTAACTACTAACTACGACTAAAAATCAGTGTCCGGCCCTTTTAAATAATGGTAATAAGACTCGAAGATTATCTTTTAAAATACCTTTGTATAGCACGTTCAAAACTATATCAAGATGCCTATGAATGCACGATATCCAAAACCAGGAAGACATGCGCAGAATACAAAAGAATATAACGATTCCCAAGTTAATATGTCAGGTTTATATCATTATAAATACAATATGACATTGAGAATGGCTAGTGTGAGCTGGTAACCGAATTAATTACAATATTAATGATGTAAGTGTAGTATCTAAATATATTCATGTGAGATATATAAAGTGTAGGCTAGAGACTGGCTAAGCTGATTAGGAAATCGTTCAATGGAATGTGGTTTTAGGCTAGTTTTTTCTTAATCTTAAGAATCAATAGTTCTTGTAGTCTTCTACACAATTAAAATATAGTATTTCTTTTCGTCGGTTTCATCATTTTTTTACATTGGTCCTTTTGTACGCTATGTATTTGTTTTTGGTCCTGTCCTTTTTGATTTGCTAGCTTAATGTTATATTCGAATATTTTTTCTGGTCAATGAATAATCCAAGAAATCACGTTGTAAAACGCTGATTCAGTGGAAATCTAAATAATGTTTACTACAAATAGTGTAATAGTATAGTTTATGCAACTAACAGCGGAACATCACGTGAATATCAGGTGGCTACTAGGTGCATGCATGACACGCAGCTGACAATTCGAATCACGTCATTTTATAGCCATTAATTTTTTTTTTATTCTTGCCCTGTATTTGGATTAAATTACTTTTTGCGATCAAAAAATTATATTGAACTTATTAGTGTTAAAGATTTTATCATACTTAAAAAATCTGAACAAATTTAATAGGAAGCTCATGTTATCCTAACCAGAGATTTTACTAAAATTAGTCATTGATACAAATCCAAACGTGAAGTGATAGAAAATTACATTTTGACTCAAATATCATTTGAACTATATAAAGTAACGTTAATGAAAATACATAAAATGTTCAATGTTTTTTTAACATGTTACATAATAACCTGTTTGTATTACCCAAGAGTGTTTCCAATAGGAATGATACACTCATAGAGGCTGCCAAGGTAAAGATGAATCAGAGATCATAAAAATACCTACAAACAATTATCTATACGTTGAATAACCTAGTTCAATATTTGCATATGGATCTTCGAAGATATAATATAATATGTTTGAACTTAATAAGGAAGTGGATTAAAAGGAATGGTCTTTAGGTATACTTAAATAACTATAGGTAGAAGAGGTACTGAATGAGGAAGACGATTTAATTGATCTACCACTGACTATCGTGTACAGAACGAATTCGAACACAGAAAAAAAAATCAGTAACTGCTTCTTTGATATCTGATTACGGAAGTCTTTGTACATTTCGCAAGCAGCTAAGCCACACGCTCTTGTCTTTCAATCTTCACTTTTAGTATCATAATCTCCAGAAATTTGGTGCTTTGAAAGTAACAGATTTTAAACAAGGAGCATTTTAAGAAAGAGAGGAAATAATCATGATTCGTTTGCTCCATGCTAGGAGATCTTTAGGGATCTTTCCGCATACGTCCTCATGTATCACACAGTTCGACGATGGTGAAAAACAAGCCAAAAGTTTTGTATCTTACGTGTGGGTGAGCCATGCTTCGGCACGAATGGGTCGGCTCGACCGGAGTGATACCACGGCCTCACAGAAAACCGGCGTGAAACAACCACAGCGTTGTGTTTCGCCCTGTGAGTGAGGTTACCGGAGGCCCAACCCTTCCCCTCCCTCAATCCCTAAATCTCCAAATCCTTAATACCTAAAAGGTCGGCAACGCACTCGTAACTCCTCCGTTGCGGGTGTCCATGGGCGGCGCTGATTGCTTACCATCAGGTTATCCGTCTGCTCGTTTACCGACCTATTACATAAAAAAATCTCATTTAACTCAATCTCAAAATATTACAAACTTGTAAAATTGTATGCGAATTCACTTACAACGAAACGTGCTAATCGGCTGAGAACAGATAACAGCAACGTTTCCACTTCAAGATCAAGGAAATTGCAGAAACCAATAACAGGACACGTACGTTATGGAATAAAAATTCATAATTGAAAATGGCGACACGTACCGAGCTGGTAGTTTCCGAGTGATAAGGTGGATAAACGGACATTCATAGAACATGAACACGTGATTTGCACGTGTGCTGATAGTTAGTTTGGTTATAGCTATAGCAATTTTTAGTTTATTGCGATATAGTGAATACTATAGACAGGTCTTTTAAGTAGCAAGCAATATCTATTCATACATAATATACTGGTATGACGTAATAAAATATTAAACTATACCTTTCAATGCCCTTAATGACATCATTGAGTAAAAATAAAATAAGCAATGGTAACTTTATTTGCTTTTCATTTTATTAAAGGTTCTATTACACAGACGTTCCTAAAAATAGTTTTCAAAAAAGGCTTATTTAAAGGCGCCAATACAATTTTCCTTCTTAATTTATAAATGGTCGGTGTATGTCAGAAGGACATTTTTAATGCTACAGTAGTCTAGTTTAACTGGACAAATTTGAAGCCTATTTCCCAAGCTGTAGTATAAAAAAGCTTTACAAAAGACTAAAAATATTTGAAATAATCAGAAACTGTACCAATGATAGAGTAGGGACGGACTATTCTTCTGTTGTAACCATTTCTTATAGAAAAGTATAACAACTTCAAATTTGAAAGAGAAGTGTGAAAAGTGGTGTAGCTGGACAAAAGCCAGACTAAAGAATTCCAATGTTTATGAAGTCTAATAATTCTTTCACGCAAAAAGGTTTAGTTGTTATAGTAGACATCTTTGACGACGTAGTCGTGTTTATAAAAAAATCTAGAACGAAGATTGCTTTATTATTTTATCTAACAGATGCCATTCATACTACACGTGGATATAGGAGATCCATTATAATAATCTCACAACAAAAAAGACGGTAATAAAAAGTTTAGTCGGAGTATTTAAAATATTCTGAATATAAATTACTAGCACACACGAGGCAAAAAATTCGAGGATAGTGAACATTTTTTTGCAACATTCTGAAGATAACTTGATATTATTACGTTTTCTTATTTAGGAGCTTTGTGGACACAAAAAATATATGTTTTCTTGTTGAAAGCTATTGTTATCTTGAAAAATCAAACGTAAATCGATTCAGACTTCGAATTAACATAAAAAATCCCTAGATTCTTTTTTACATATATTTATTGAAAAGCGATATTCAGAGTAGGTATACGAGGTAGTGTAATAATGTATGTATATGTAGAGTTACTTCTCTTAAACTATTAAACATAAATGTGCATCTAAAATGTGTTTTTTTTAAATTGTATTACGGCCTCACTACACTATGAGAACAACTGCTCTTTTTAAAATTATTATCTTTTTCTTTCGACCATTTGCATTTTCGAACAAAAATTATGAATTTTTCCATCAATCACTCAGTCGTTGTGTGCTATAAAACTTTCTCTTATCTAATGTAATTTTTTCCGTCGTGAACTAATCAATTATTCACTAACAAGCAATTAATGTTCTATATTTAGCATTAAAGGATATAATAACGCAAATAACTAATACAGTCACTGACTAGACGATGTGCTTGACCTTGCCGTTCATGTCTTTAACCTGACAAGGATGACTGTGAAACGATCGCTGTGATAACAACACAAATATAATTTGGAGATTTTTTACATTCTACGTTATAACGAAGAAAATAGAAGTTCAGATTAAATACATAGGTTCATCGATACACTGCAGTGAAATACATGATCTATTACATATGATATAAATATGGGTGATTCAAAATTGGATTATCAGTCCAAATGCGTTTTTTATGAGACAAATCAGATATTTTTATGAACAAAATCCTACAAATTATCATTTTGCAAATGCAACTACATTTATTGGACTTTGAATAATATCAAACTCGTTCAATCATTACAAGATCTACCAACTACTTATTGAAAAACTGAAAGGACGAGAAAAGGTCGTACAAAAGGACCATGTTAAGTGTAAACAAAATGTGGCAGTCGCCTGACTGACAAGCAACACAATGACCTGTTAACAATCACGGACTTACAACACACACAGTTACAACTTATTGAAATAGTAACAACATACAATGAATTTAATTTGAAAATAAGACGTGAAAATGCCCCATTCTTACAGTTTCGAACAAAAGTAACATAATGTTATTATTATAATGAATACTTCGACTGTCATGTACGATGCCACCGGCCAGAAAAAATATTTGACCGAGCGCACTGACTTGGCTAACCTTGAAAATCAAGAAAAATCGCCAAGACTCAGTTCTTGCAATGCAGAAAATACCGCAAACAGGTCTCATAAATGGTAACACTAGATAGGTTGCTGTGCAATATTGTGAACACAATTAACATAATTATATCGACCCAGACCGTCGACAAATATTTAAAATGATACAGCTGAAGTGAAAATTGTTAGTAAACGGCATAACCTAGACTGAGATGAGTGCGCATTTTTAGACAAAATAGTCGTCAAGGAAAGTCCTATAAACCATTTTATTAAACCCATTTTAGAAAAAGGAAATAAAACTGCAATTTTGTACAGTATCACGTCAAGGGTAAAGAACGGCGTGGTGTGCCAAAACGGTTATTTCTGGACTACGAAGTACGAAATATCAAGATCACGGTTATACAACTAGTATAAACGGAACGTTCAACTTACCGAAGAAACTTGATCGAATAATCACAACACAACACAGGCCACTGTATTATAATCAAGACGATAACTTCGCGAGAATTAAAATTCCTGGAAACCGAGACGTCCGCACCGTGTAGCGGTCAGATATCAACTGAATGACTCTTTCGCATTGTATAGTGTAGCGGCCATGCTTACACACATACACAAGTTGGATGAAAGTGAGGTGTGTGTACGTGCCTTTTTCGTGTGTGCAAATCAGTCAACAAGATATACCTTGAATGACGTACTGGTGATTGCGTTTTAAAAAAAAAAGTTTTTTTTAACAAAATGTTAGTTTTTGTCGCCTTTGTGTGTACTGTGTACCAATTCGTTATGTAATGGACATTAGTAGAATCGGAGATATAAGGGAAGCCCATTCCAAAAAACATGAAATTTTCTTTACGATCCAAATGTAAATGTAATTTCCATTACTCAGTCATTAAGAGCATGTTTTGGAAGTATCGAAAATAAGTATTGCCTTGAAAGATCAAAATTTAATTTCTGTAACATTAACAGTGCGAGAGCATCTGCGTACCATACCATGTACATAACTATACAAAGCGAAGTTTTCCGTAATAAATGAAGTCTGTCAAGGCATTGTTGTTTCCTATGTGACCGTGAAACCACGTGTAGGAATACCGTGTGCAATGAGATCGCTATTATACATAAGTACACTGTGGCATTAGGCTGCAATTTAGTGCTGCCCACGTAAATTAAAACTGTCTGTTTTAGCAAGTTTGAAAAAGTACTTCATGGCTTATTTAATACTGTAAACAATTTCCATTTTATTTGAATAATTTTTCTGCTTAAAATATTTGGACAATATGGCAATAAATGGAGTCGAGTCATACGAACATGCAACATTAATCACCAACATTATCGCATTTATGATAAACATTCCAACGAATACGGAAGACACACCCATATTTTTAGCGATTTGCACTGATAAATATTGTCATGTATACTAGGTAGTTGGTGTCTGTAATTTAACATAGCACTTGAAACTACAACTCGTTGTTACAAACGTATTTAGGAAGAAAGGACCAGGTTTTAAGGACCATCCAAAAGTGGTCCTTTTGGTCTATAAATGATCTAACGCCAATGCCACTGCAATCTATTTCTTTTGATTAATCACAAAACACGGCACGCTACCTTAACAGCAAGATGACGTAAGCAACATTGGTTGGTGTGTCGCTCGTTCCGCTCTCTTATTGGCCGACCAGTGTCTTACGATCACTCGACTCGTGCGCAAGATTTTAACATTACGTTCCATTTATAGACAGCTCTTATAATTGTTGTTTTATGAGTACACGAGTACATGGGTTTTATTAGACATTGATTTTGATTCTTCTCTTCTTCTTCTTCATTGCTCGTGTCATGACAGCTAAGAACTTTTAATCCAATTAGATTTGGAAACTCACCCCGTTTTTTAAACCCATACAATCATCTACAAATGCAATGAAGAATAGTATTACGAAACCCTAAACTTCTATCATTTGATACAATACCTCGTTGTAAGGTGTCTGAAATATAAATCAGAAAATTCCATCCGCATATTGATTTTAGACGTCTGCCAGTATTCAAGTGCTCTTTGGTTTATTTTATCCAGATCCAGCACATGCAATGCTTATTAAGACTAATCTTCAATATGTCAGTGCTGCGTGCCAAGCAACGCAATAATAACTCACGATAGGATAAAGATAAGGGCGTTTCTGTGACGTCAGAGAAGAATGCACCATTTATTTGGCTTTCTTTATAAATCATTTTGGACCAAAAGATAGAATTTTAGAAAGTACATCCAATTATTTGATTCAGTAACTAAATTGGTTTGAAGTTACAGTACAAGGATAGACCATAGAGCTAAAAGTTGAAATAAGACTCAAAAACATAGTTAAGACTATGACTAGTTATAAAACATAGATGTTTTGGTACTTAATACAACTTTCAATCTTAACTCATAATCTATATACCTACACTTCAAGGTCAATTCCGACTAGGATGTTACCATAATGCTAATTAGCAAATTAGACCAAATATACCAACTTCCGTGGAATATTTGAACATTTGGCATTAAAAAAATTGCCTAAGTAAATAAAAACCTAATTTCAAAGTAAAGCATTATAGACTTTGCACCTAAAAGATTAAGGTCTCAAATCGTTGTGATGTTATACTGGTTGAACAGGAACTTACGACATTGTCTGATAGATTTCATCATCCATGTGCAATTAAAAGTGGGGTTTTCTATCTCATCACGACACTTTCATCACATACTTAAAAAGATAAGGAACTGGGAATGACCGAATTATGGGTTAAGTAAGTATACTCAAATAAGAATGTGATGTTTAGGCGGCTCGAGATTAAGACGCTCGCTACTCTTGCATGAGGGTATCTGAACAGTTTGAATTTGCCAAATGCTCATAGGACAGTTTCCGAGCGGCTAACACTAACAGCACACGAGCACACGAGCACTAACAATGTCGACTTTGTATACACAGAATTGCATGTTGCAGGTTGTAAAGCTAATATTAGATTTTATACGTTATCAACGTGCTTTTAATTGCTATTATTCTAGTAAGTCGTCTCTCGTAGTCTAGTGAAGTACTACAATATTAGAAATGCGAAAACGCCTGGAAACATGTTTATTAGTTGCTATTTCACCTAAAAACTGCTGACTAGGTCCAGATAAAATTTGACACGGATAGATAATATTCTGGGGCAACATATTCGCTACATTCTATCCCTCTTAAACACTAAAGCTCTGATAAAATTAATTTACACAAACATAAAAAGTGTAACTTAAATTCCACTACCGTAAGTTCGGGTTATTTTGACCCTGGGAGTAACTTTGATCCAAATTTTCGAACCAATGAAAAACGAATATATGTTTGGTTCTCAGTAATTATTGGTTAAAGGGTCTTGATCAAAGTTACCCCGCAGGGTCAAAGTAACCGGAACTTACCCGGTTCTAAATGCTACAACAATATAGGAATCTTCGTTAAGACAAGACTAAGTTAAGATACCTTTCCAAATCTTCACATGACCTTCAACAGTATTAACTGCCTGGATTCCAAGACTCGTGGATCGTAACAGAACGCATGTACTATTTTTTTTTTTTTTTTGAGGTGGAGGGGGACGGGGCGAGCAATCTCGCCGCACCTTCCCAAAACCACTGCAACTCCTGTAAGCTAGAATCTACAGTCGATACAAACAAGAAAACACTGGCGCACTAAAGTCCAGCGCGTCTCTGGGAAAAGAGACTGTACCATACTGTACTATATATTTTGTAAACTATAAGATCGATGGAAGGAAACAACTGCCTTGTTTTCCTACACTTAAGTAGCTACCTGCCACCTGTAGCTAATTAAGCACGAAAATAACCTTTGACCTATACGTTTTATGACACGTGGTTTCGATGCAGTCTTCTACAGTTTCAAGGACTTTCGATTCTAATATACACACACATTTACACAAGCTTTGGGTGAAGGCAGAGACAAATACTACACACTATGATCCAAGCGCATGTGTTTAGTTTTCTTTACATTTTATTAATTTAATGTTTATTTAATAACACACTTATATTAAAGATTTAAAATTGATTAGAAGAATTTTTAGCTCTAGCTGTACAGCACATTATGATAATGAAACATATATTCACTATTATATTAGCATTGCAAAATATTCGCTTACTAACGTGATAAAATTTAAATTTCGCGCGCAAAATTTGAGCTGACACCTTAATTGTCTATTATTTTTTTCTTTGGAAGTGTAGGCAGAGCAGAGGCAGGTATGGGATTTTCTGTTCTGTTACATTATTAACTTTATACGTAGTTCTAATGAAGAATTATAGAGATTATTTTTAAGAGTTTGATAATCGAAATACTAAATAATACTTTACCGAACTTGAACCATCGTTGTCAAGTTTGAGGTTAAGGACTTACTCCATAAGGAACCTTCACCTTGAACTCTCTCAAAGACAAAAGATAAGATTACGAACAAACTGGCCACTATAGAAGGCATTCTGCATAAACAATAAATTCAACTCATTATCGACAGCAGGCCCCTAACCATACATTTACAAACGCACACACACACACAGCTGGCGGCCATGACAGTTCGACACGACAAGCCTCCGAATCCGTGCTTTCTGATTGGCTGCCTAGATCGCGCCTCCATGACGTCACCTGCTCAAGCGCACGCATTTTATCGAAAAACTATAGCCACAGTGAAGGCGATAGCGATTATGAATAGTTTATTGAATTTTGCCTTGATAAGTTTAATTCAAAGTTTTGAACTTTAGGGGCAACAAGAATAATGTGTCTCTATTGCGAACGTTCTGTTGTTATAGTAGCTCTAATAACTGTACGTATATTGTTAAGAAAATATGATTCGTCATCTTAACTTGTGTTTAGTTTTTTATGTTGAGTTAGGTGTTGAGAACCGTCTTTTTGGAACATATTTACACTCTATTGTGCCTTTTTTCAATTTGTTAATGTTGTTTTTATTTAAAAATAATCACCGTGTTTTCTTGGCACAACTTCTTAGGACCAGTCTGATTTGACTCCTGATTATGCAACACCACGACCGGTTCAGTTTTATGTATATGTCTGGGACGGCAAACGGGACAGGGCACAAATAAATAGGGTTCAACAACATAGTCTTTGAGGCAGGTCGCGTTTAACCGGTTGCTTTCAAACTCCCTTTACTTTTATTTCTATCTTTTTTGCATAAAATATTTTTAGGTAGGTACAGTTAAAAGCGTTACGGTTTCTTATCAATAATGCTGACTAGCTACTCTCGGCTCGAATCCTATTGGTCGCAAAAAGTTATTTTATAGTTTTCCTTGATAAATGCTTAGTATATTATAATAAATAAATATTGAATTCGCGCCAGTAGTTCTGGCGGCTAGCGCGTTCAAACAAAGAAACAAACTCTTCAGGTTTATAATCTTACTACAGACTTGCTTAACTCCTCGCTTGTTTTAATAATAATCTGTGTTTCAAAGTCCAAATGCTTTGCTACGCACCTTTTAAAATTTGCAGTTTCATGCACGTCGGCATGACATTCGTTGCTGTCATCTTGTACTTAAACTAATCCTTAATGAGTACGTACGTGG